TATTTCATTTTGTTGGAATCAGCATAACAGCAGAAAAGTAGAATGTATTTAAAATGTTAATGATATAATGCTGTGCTAGACTAGGGTTTCCAATTTCTTGTCCACCCATTCATCCATTAGCTATACACCGCTTAATCCTCACTAGGGTCTCTGGGGGGGCTGGAGTCTATCCCAGCCGACACCCTGGACAGGTCACCAGTCTATCACAGGGCTACACTTAGAGACAGACAACCAAACACACTCACATTCACACCTACAGACAATTTAGAATTCACCTCAACATGTTTTTGGATTGTGGGAGGAAGCCGGAGAACCCAGAGAGAACCCACGCTGCACGGGGAGAACATGCAAACTCCACGGAGAAAGATCCTGGGTGTCCTCACTGGGACGCGAACCGGCAACCTTCTTGCTGTGAGGGGACGATGCTAACCACTGCTCCACCTTGCAGCCCGTAAGAAAAGTAATTTTATTTAAAAGAACATTAAATTCACAGTATATAAATATGGACCATGTCTTCACACCATTTGGTCAATCAGATGGAGCCTGAACTAGATTTCAGATCTAACTTTTAGTTTTTTCAGTTTAAAAGAAAATATTTTAAAGGCTGCAGGAGAAATTAAGTTTAAATTTCCTGTAGTAATATTGTCCTATTTAAATGAATGTTTGGTTTATTTGGTTGAATTTTCATGTGCAGTTTGTTCAATAAAAGCATTTTCAAAATATTTAAGGTAATCATTGAGGTTTACATTGGCAGTGTGTCTATCAAAGCTGAAAGACTTGTGAACTAATACACCTCAATATTTGATTTTTTCTTGCAAATCATCGTGTCGCAGATTCTCCTCATATTGTGCAGGCCTAGTTTTAGCATCCATTGCCTTAAAGCCACATGTTAACCAGGGGCTTTTGTCCTCACCGGGACACGAACCAGCGACCTTCTTGCTGCGAGGCAACGGTGCTAACCACCCAGCCACCGTGCAGTCCCCAATTTCTTGTGCTTCCTGTATTGTGATACTAAACACACCTCTGACTATAATGCAGTCCATTCCAGCACCACCACTAACCATGATGAGCACGACAGCTTAAACACAACATCACAACTGACAGAACAGCTGCACTGTATTGCACGATACACCTACAGATGTAGCCAATGAAGTGGCCACAGAGTTTATGTTCCAGTGCCCAGAGTGCATCAGAGTCATGCCTCATTATATACAGACGCTGAGCCATCACACTCCCCTCTCCCTGACTACAAACTGTCCTTTAGTCAGTGATGAAGTCCACAGAATGCTTCACAGATTTACCAACTCTCAGAGGAAATGCTCCAAGATCAAAAACTAAAAAGGCTAATTCAACAGTTCTGCCGTCTTCCTGCCCCTCCCTCCTCCTCTGTTCTGTAAATTACAGACAACCAGCAGTCTGACTCAATTACAACTGCAGCGAAAGATGACTTAACAGTGAAAACGCGGGGTCAGACGCAGTACAAATTACCTTAAAATTAGCTCGTCCCATCATATGCACCTGACAATGACAAAAAAAAGCCCGAGGAGTTTCATGTGTCAGATGTGAATACGTTGTGCAGGCAGAGCTGTTCCCAGGAAATGCTAAATTCTTGGCAACTGTTTTTTTTTTTTGCCTGGCAGAAAAATACCCACCTTCATATTGAAATAATTATGCTGACAACAGAGAAAGAAACAGGTAAAGGAAAAGAGGACGATCAGCTGCTGAGGTTCACCAAGAGGTCATCAGACGTGACAGTTTCAGTGACGTCAGTGATCAACAATCGTTACACCAGTTTGAGAATGTCCTGAGGCGACTTATAGGCAGCGGACTGGTTATTGGCCTTTGGGATGGGCAGTGGTGTTGTGAGGGTCTTTAATTAATTTCCAATTAAAGGCCAATATTGAAGCCGATCAGTGCTTTTTTTTCCTTCATTCCTGCTTTTGGAGGTTGAATAGTGCTGTGTAGGCTCTCCAGTAATGGCCAACTGATTTGCCCATCTATCTTATTTAATCCTGAGAAAACACTGTGTTTACAGTTCAGCCTCCATTCTGCTTATGTAAACATAATGTAATCACACTTTCCTGAACATCCTGCACGCCTCACTTTAACCACACCATTCAAAGTTGGGAATTTGAACTCGTCTAAACTTGAAAGTTTGACAGCGATCCCAACTCTTAGCATCTGTTTTTGTCAGAGCTTTCGACAGCCCTCGTCAGCGGATGACGTTTTCTCAGTGGATCTGTTGTTTTAAACGCTCAGCAGCTGTTGTGGTTTCAGTTTTGCCTCCATCATTGAACAAGCTCCATCTACTGATGCAGACAGGTGTGGAAGCAATAAGATTGTCCTTACTTTAGGGTTGGTTTACTAAAGTGGAAATCATTTTCTCATGAGTCATGACCTAATATATTCCACATTTGGCCAAAATTGGTGCTTTTCTCTGTGGTATGATTCTATCATCTGAGTCACATGTTGGGTTGAATGAAATAAGGCAGAGGAACAAAATGGACATAAGAACAAGGGGGAAGTATTAAAGCATCTTTTTACCTTGTCAACCTTCTCCACCTTCAACCTGCAGAAATCTAATCACCATCCCAAAAACACAAATTCAGCCCGTTTGTCAGTTTCATATGTAACACATCTAAGGAACCAGTTTGTCATCTCATGGGGTGGCCCTTACTGGATCATTGTTCTTCTTCAGAACTGGTTTCCACTCAGAACATGCAGGGCCTAATCACTCCAGTATTGCAACTAGTTTCACAGTGTTTGAGCAGAGTAGTAGGTGAGCTGCTGTGCTTGAGCTGCAGCGAGTAGAGAGGTGGTTTCTTGTGTATTTGGTGCCAGAAGGAAACAGCAGCGAGCCTTAGTTGAAGCCAAATCAGCTGGAAGCTTTGCAATGACGCGGATCTGACAACCTGAGCAAAAAACAAAACAGAAACACAACAATAAAAATGTTGTAAGACATCAAGACTGTTGGAGCTACCTAGAAAAAAATAAAATTGGAATAATTTAACACGTTGCTACTTGTTTGTACAGCCAAACAAAGATGGCAGCCACAACTATAGTGACTTTTTTTTTCTTTTTTCTGTACGATGCTAAACAAATATGAACTAATTACATCCATCCATCCAT